GACTCCAATAGCTGTTACATGAGAAGCTGCAAAAATACACAAGTACACGACAAAGGAGTCAGACACTTACAACAAAGTTTGGATAGTAAAGTTTGAAGCTTGCCCAGGTATGTCGTAGCCTCTGATAAAAGCAACTATTTTTCTCCTATCAGCTCGAGCATCAACAGCCATGACAACTGTTTTCTCGTGATGACTATAAGCTTTCTGTTCTCTCAAACAAAATTTGGACTACTTCTCTCAAACAAATTTTGGACAATAGTGAGAAATAGTCTCTGAATATTATCTACTCTCTCAGTCCCGAAATACGTGTCTCAACTTTTTACTAACTTCAGTACAAAGTTGTACTAAAGTTGAGACACTTATTTTGGGACGGAGGGAGTAGGTCACAGCTGCATATTTAATTTCAGATGATAACCACAGATATAATGGTGAATTTTCAGCACATATTTAATTTAAAAATCTGTGAACCTTGGCCAACGGGGATGTATGTACCTTGTTTGGGATAGCTTAATCAGCCCAAGGCTTCTTCAATAGTCGGGCGCGAAGATCTGGGTGCTCAGGCGGCTGGTAAGCCAGACAACTTCTTCATCTACAAATAGAAGAGATAGTTTGTTTCTATTCATCCAGCTCGACTGAAGATTGGAGGAAGGAAAGAGAAGGGGAAAAAACAAAACCTCGGTGGTGCAGAACAATGGCAAGCATGGGGTGGAGCATCCTCGTCGAGGCCGTGCTGGCCGGTCACCGGCTAATGTCACTGCTCTGTGCAGCCATGCTCGCCTATGCCTACTCCTCATGCACATCAAGTTGTCGACCTTAAGTCCAGCCTGCTTCTTTTTTGCTCTTTCCAACCAACTTCTTCACCATCTCCAAGTCTGCATCAATTAATTTTCTGTCCAGTTATACGCACAATAATAATTCTCAGCTATGTTAAGGTGTGAGGTTGTCAACTAATTGACGAACATAAACTATATGCAACTCAAAAGCAGAGTGTTCAAAATAAGCAGAGAGGCACAGTTAACATTGATACTGAATTAATGAGTCTCTGCTGCCAAGTCAACCATGTGCATACACAATAGCCTCTTATAGGACGAGGTGAGTACTGACCCGACCTTGTTTTTTAGAGCATGCAAATTGCTTACAATATTTATTATAGAAGGAGAAAGCAAGTAATGTTACAAGAGAGCTGTCGTAATAATAGGAACACCAATAATACATCACTCCTAGATACAAATGGAACTACTCCCACATGCAGCAACTCCGGTTCCTCTGGCCAGCTTCCAAAGAAGCATATCAAATAAGATTTGAGTGGTCACATATTAGTGTTGGCAAATAATAAAGGCTCCAGCCGGTTAACATGACCAGAGAATCAAAACCTCACCGCTTCTTCTTTGAAATGAGGACCCTGCTCGTGATCCACCACTCTACCAAGACATCAGAGACCAAGGGGAGGATGATGGTGTTCTCCAATCAGACATCCTCAAGGCAACAGTGCCAACCCTGCCTCGAGTAGATGCATTGCATTAGTAGTGAGATATCTAAGAAGTATGGCCAGCACAGTCCTTGCATTGGTCGCAGAGGAAACACACTAACCCCGCCATTAGAGTCAAGGAATGAATGGTATTGAGATATATATCTAAGTACATAATGTATGGTAATATGAAAACGTTGAATGCTGAAACCCCAACAAAACAGTGCATTCACACCTAGAATTTTGCTTGCAAAGTAAGTTATCTACATATCCTGCTCATCCACTTAACGCACCACTCTATTAGCGATACTCTAGTTCCTCCAGCAATGGTAAATTAAGAAGAACCCAAGAACTCCTGCAAGTGTAGGATCAAAATGTTGATGTCATCTGCAAGTGCAGGATCAAAATGTTGATGTCATCTATAGGAAATTGCTTTCGAAAGCCTGTATGAGCGGAAAAGGGGGTGTTGTTCATACCTTAGATGGATCGGCCTGAGCCTTCTTCAAGAGGTTGGCGCCGAAGCTCCTGGTGATTGGGTGATTGATCCCCGTCGGTAGTTGGATCTTGTTGTTGCAGTGAACAAGACAAGATTCAGTTCAGTCCAAAGAATGGAAGAACAAAAAAACAGAACATTATTCGATCCTTGCGTTGATTTTCTTACCCGTCGAGGACGTTCACGTGGAGAACGTCGCCGATGTCCCCGAGCACCCGTCTGTTTCCTCTCACACAGGGGAGGCCAGCGCTGGCGCCGGCGTCCTTCTGCTTCCCCGTCGGGCCTGCGGCACCTGGACATCACGAACGAGAAACATGAGTAAAGATCAAGGAATTGCTAGTTGACACACGAATCGGGCAAGAAACTCTCTCGCATCAGACTGTCCTGGTTGGAAACATTATTAATGAAAATTTGGTCTTGACGAATTAGACTATGAACATCAGAACTCAACTGAAACAAAGCCGTGAGAAACCTAACGGCGCAGCCAGGACCGAATCGAGAATCCCTAGAGCGGTCGTTTCCCATGCAGCGCGGCGAGAAAGAGAGATTATGTTGATGGGCGGACAGGCGACTCACCTCTGTTGGCTGGCCGTGGAGCGACTGTCGCGTGCTGGTTATGCGCCTGGTCGCCATGGGGATTGTCCCAGCGAGGTGCTTCCGGCGAACCCTGCCCCCGATTCCTCTCTGCTCCTACTGCTACATGTTCTCTGGTGGGGAGGAGGTGCGATGTTGACTTGTGGAAGCCCTAGAACGGGAAGGGGCAAGATGTTGGACAGCGGAGGCATGGAACTGTGGTCCCGTGATGGCGGCGGCGGCGGCGCCATCCCATAGCCACAACCTAGCAAACATATCAAGGAGGATAGGATCGAGAGAGGAGTTGGCGGCGTACTGTTTTTTTTTCTTTTTCGAGAGAGGAATCAAATGACCCATTCTCATATAATAGTAATGATTTATGATTGATCAAAGATTGATCGTGATTTATTCATTTCCATATAAAAGTTACCAAATACTACCCAATTTTTTATGCTTGATTAAAGATTGATCATGAATTATTCCTTTCCATATAAAAGTTACTGAAAATTGATCTTATTGGCATATAAAGTTGGTTTAAATAGATCGTGGGTAAAATTCTGTTATTTGTTTCCTTAAAATTCGTTATTTTATTTCCTAAAGTAAATTGCACTGATGGGAGGAATCAGTTGATTTAGGTAAGTTAGGAAAGTTAGACCTGTGATCTTTTGTATCTTAGGAAAGTGTTGGTTTACAAGGAAAGAATGGAGACGAAAATAAACCCGTAGAAAAGGGGTGGGGGAGGGGACGAAGAAACCAGATGAAAAAAAACCAGACCAAAAAAAACAGACGAAAGTGGTGGGACTATTTAACCAACTCGTCCATTAGGAGTAAAGATTTCCCGCAAAAAGAATAGTAATTAATCATAGCGATTGACACGACCGCCGGGTCTTGCATTATAAAGGGCAGCATCATTTGAAGAAAAGATATGTGCAAAGGAAAAGACGCATTCATGCAGAAAGTACGATACAACTAGATCCTTGACATGCTCTCAAAGTAGCGGCGAATAAGCCAGACAATGGTTTCTGAAAACAAATAGAAAAATGTCAAAACGATGGGTTTAACTAAAACGATCGGTAGTGAAAGTCATTAGTTGAAAATTCAACAGGACCAAAGGGATATTTCAGATAGACTTTGTGTCCGCTGTTGTGTAAATTCAAAGTGATAAAATTAAGGTTAAGAAGCCGGACCCTACCTTTCGCGATCACTGTCTGTACCTGAAAAATTCAGATAAGTGATTCTTATGCAAGGCCCGGGCTACCCACGGCGTGTATCTGTGAGATGACCCGAACTGTTTAATCCATTCAAAATACTCTTTCATGGATTAAATCTAGGACATCGTTTATGACATGAAAACTCCTAGCCTTTTCAATATTTACTCAAAAGTAGCGGATATAAACACAATAAACACATACCCATCCTCTCCGTGAACTTTACATAATTACGATGCAGATAACCAACACTAACATACAAATAAACACGTCGACAAAGAGTAAAGTCATAAAAAAACAAAGCTATGTTTGTTTTCCGATAAATGACATTTAATTGAATTGACTTATCAAGATGATACAATCGCATTGAAAGAATGTCCGGCCTCTGTGTTACATAATGCGATCCCACTTGTAGAGGTATATCACTTTTTCCCATGTACAAACCAATTACAGAGTTTTGACGAGGGCTATGCAATGGAAAGTACCCACTTTACGTGATCATGTTTGCGAATTATGGCGGATCAGCAGCCGAGAAAGTGCGCGTGCGGGCTGCAGCTTGCTCCAAATCCCCTCCTAATTTTGTGATCCAACTAAAAAATTTCAAATGCATCTAGATTCCACATTTACTTCTCAATTTTTCTGTTTTTTATTCCTTTCTTGAAAAGGACGTGGAACCCCCTGGCTTCTGCATCGTTATGAGGCACATAACCATTCTTATTATTTATTAAGCAAAGTACATAACAAATCTAACCAAAGCCGAAATGTTACAAGATATGAAAAGTAAACACATAGGGCTAAGTCCACTTCTTCTACAACACCTGTCATATTTAGTTATCCTTTTGGTTTGCAATATGATTTGGGACAGTTGGATTTAGATTAAACCATCCGGGGAGGTTTGAGTTTGACACACTTATTTCCGACACTGAATCCTCTAAATATAGGATATTATTTGTGATATCAGCCAGTTCGTATATACTTCTCTTTAAAATGTAGGTTTGAGTTTGACAAACTTATTTCCGACAATGAACCCTACTGGACCGACTTACAGTTCACACATTACAATGGGGAAATAAAATTAAAAAACAATATCAACTTTTACAGTAAGAATCATCCTCAATACAATGAACAATGAATGTGTGCATCTTCATTTGTTCTTATTTTGCACTAATAATAAATAAATTCAGGGCACAACTTCGGCACGCACGTCCTTACCCAGATTAATTAGCTCTATAGATGAGTGAGGCCATTGGCGCCACACCTCTTGAATTCTGGGGGCGGCGGGGGCAGGCTGGTCTCCGGCGTTGGCCCGTTTTCCACGATGAACGCTGTCGCCATGCCCATGATGATGTGGAACTCAAAGTGGCAGTGGAGGTACCACATCCCGGGGTTGTCGGTGACGAAGCGCACGGCGGCCCAGCCGGTCCTGGGCACCTGCACCGTGTTCCTCAGCTGTGGGTTGTGGTAGTTGAACTTCTCGGGGTCCGTCTTGGGGTTGTAGTTGCCGAGCCCTGTGGCGAGCACGAAGAAGTCGTAGCCATGGAGGTGCATGGGGTTGGAGTCGCTCTGCAGCAGCGCCGTGCTCTGGAAGATGATCTCCACCGAGGTGTTGTACCGGAACCTCCGTAGCTTGGTCGCCTTGAACGTCGGCTCGAGTGCCTTCTCCAGCGGCCCCGGCGGGATGAGGGAGCGGTCGGTGTAGTTGTACGGGTGCGGCGGATGGTCGGGGAGGTCCTCCGTGTAGAGGCCACTTGTCTGACCATCGTAGTATCTCTCGAGGAGCGACGCATTAGTCGGGTGGCGGAAGGACACGTTGTTCATGGTGGCCACCACGATGGTCTCGGGACTCCGCCCACGCTCGCATGTCTTGTTGGTGCCGCGGCAGATGGAGCCGAGGCCGAGCGCGAAGAAGAGGCGCTCGTCGACGTGCATGGGAACGCGGTGGCGGTCTGGGTGGGCGAGGCCGGTGAGGTTGCTGTGGAAGTAGTAGGACGGCATGGTGTTGTGCTGGCTGGGCATGAGCGGCGTCGGCACCGGCAGCCCGTTGTTGTTGTGGGAGGATCCGGCGTAGCGGACGAGGCCGCGAGACACGAACCCCGGGATCTGTGGGTCAGGCTCCGGCGGCTGATTTGCGAGCGCCACCATATGGTAGTGCGCAGGCGGGGCATCAGCGGCCATGAGCACGTCGATGGCCTCCCCTGGCGCGACGGTCACCATGTCCGTCTTGTACGGCGTCAGGTAGTACCCGTCGGCGCCCACTACCGTGAATGTGTGCCCAGCAACCTTGAAGTAGTACTCCGAGAAGAGCGCCGTGTTCACAATCCGCAGAAGGTACGTCTTTCCACGCACCACGTCAAGGACGAAGCTCTCCTCCGGCTTGCCAGAGCAGTTGCTCAGGTCGCCCAGCTTACCGTTGATGGTTGCCGACAGCGGGTTGTCGTCGAAGTTACCGTCATGCATCCTCCGGTCGAGCTCGACGAGGTCAAGCTCCCACCACTCGCCGATGATGATGGGCACGTCCTTGGCGGGCGTCGGGAACGGGTACCTTCCGCCCTTGGGGCGGATGATGAAGGCGCCAGCCACGGTGGCGCGGAGGCAGGTGACGTGGGCGTGCCACCAAAGCGTACCGACCTGACCGGTGACGTTGAAGCGGTACACATGCTCGCCGCCAGGAGGGATGGGGCATTCGGTGACGAAGCCGGCGCCATCGGACCAGCAGCTCCTCATCTGCCGGATGCCGTGCCAGTGGATGGTGAGCCCGTGAGGGAGACGGTTGATGACGTGGACGACAACCGTGTCACCGTCGGTGATGTCGATGGTGGGGCCTGGGAGCTGCCCGTTCACCACGTAAATCTTGGTCGTGTTGCACAGGTGCGTCTGGTTCATCTCGTGCACCTGAACATCATCATTAATCAAATACGTAACTGATTGGTCAACAGGTAACTAATCAAGACGGTACCTTAAGCCGTGTGCTAAGAAAACTCGATAGCTAGTGACGGTTCATAGAAAACCATACACAAGTAAAACTAGTTTTCTTTTTGTTTTCATGATGCACATCCAGCCTAAGATTTTAGCCCATAGGCGCAAAGCTAGTTTATTATCGTCACGACCTTTGAAAGCAAACCTTTTTAGAGCATTCCTTTGAAAGTAAATCTACCGAGAAATGATCAAGAACATGACTTGATTAACCAGATAGATAGATAGATAGATAGATAGATAGATAGACAGAGAGAGAGATAGATAGATAGATAGATAGATATTGTACTCACGACAAAGGTGTGTTCCACTACCGCCGCCTCACCGCCGGCCGCCCCTGCGAGAGCCGCAAGGACCACGGCGCAGAACATGGTTGCCGCCATGGAGAGCTTCTCCATGCCTGCTTGCTCTGCAAACTCGGGGCTATGCCACTCTCGATGGGTGGTTAGCTAGTTAACTCGCTGCTCAATGGAAGGATGGTTTGCCAAGCCTGTGCTGCGGCCTATTTATACACTCGATGGACAAGGCGTCGGAATCCTACGGCCGTTTGCAATCGTTGACTTGACCAGGCTAATCAAACCAAGCAACAGGAAACGCCATGTGTTGATATCATGGATCACGTACGCAAGCACAGTAGATCACTCTGCTACATTTCATGCAAAAGTAATAGGTAGGCCGGCTAGAGGCGAGGCTTCATGGAAACGCCGTGATGTGAAGGGAGATTACAGATTAGCATCATTGGCACGTAGAATACCTTTTGTTGTTGCGCCGGTAAGAGGCCAGCTAACCTTTCGCCTTTGATAATCCAGAGAGAATGACAAGTCAGTCACGGCTATGTAATTAAGCCAGAGCTTGGGCGACCAGACTTCCAAGCCGGCGTCACGAAAAAAAAGTGCAGTGCGCGCTGAGTTAACGCGGGAACGAAAGGCGTTCACCGGATCAAATCACGGACTCTATCCGTCTTCAAAAAGTTAATCTAAGTCAAATAGCGCAAAGTTTGGTCAAATTTGTAGAATAAACTACCAACAATGATACGAGCAAATACAAATCATATTTAGTTATGTATTCTTTGAGTTAATTGTGTATTTAGTGATTATAATTGTTAATTAAATCTATAAATTTGACTTAATTAGGTCATCTCCAACGGCAACCCATAAATTTTCTTCTGCATCTATCCGCGGACAGGGGAACCAGTCCGTGGACATGGATATGAGATGCCATCATCCAATCGTAGCAGCATGCATTTTAAACACATTTTCAACAAACCGGATGAAATTCATGCAAACATGGCCGGACTTCATATAAACATACCGAATTTCATACAAACTGGACGAAAATACTTACATTTTGGACATATTTTAACTAAAAAACATAAAACTATGTGCACGTACAGTCGCATGTAGCTCCACTCCCACGTCACAAATACACTACACTAGTCTACGGCTGGCCACAATGGATCTCTTTGTCATCCCCATGTCTGGCAGCCCACTCACCGGACTGTCGGGAGCCCCGGAGGTATACTCTTCCCCCGATCTTCCCCATGTCCGGCTGCTCCGGTCATCGGAGTGGCAGAGGGAGTGCTTCAGCCAAAGGGGATGGGGGCGCCTCCACTTCCGGGATCCCGGGCGGAGGTCGACGAGGGGTTGTGCAAGCCGGCGACGCGCCAGCAGTGGCCTTCCTGGGACTCATGCGGCGACGCCTCCCGTGTTGTACTTTCCCTTGATGTTGGCAGCCTCCCATGGATATGCCCTCTAAGTAACCTAGTTGGGTGAACATCGTCTCACAGTGTTTAAGTGTTCATGAAAGTTAGGCTTGGAGGATCTACAACCGGACCCTATACCTGTCCCAAACGCCCAAACAGGTTATATGGTCAGTGTATGGACGGAAAAACGCCACCAAACTGGGTGTCCCATGTCCAGTCTAAACGTCCGGACTGACCATCACTTCCAATATCCAGTCCAAACCTGGGGCGTATATCGGACGCCAGGACGCGGGCGTCATGTCATTTCTGGCCCACCCGACCCTACATAAATTGGACACTACCTGCACTTCGAACGAAACCCTAGTTGCATTTCTATAACACCCCGGATGTAACTTACCATATTTGTACTCCAACTCTTGCCATTTTCAGCTCTAAGTTATGAGATTTGTGGTTGGGTTCTTGTCTTTGTTTTGCATTTTGTTCATGTCATGATTTTCATATCATGTCATCATGTGCATCACATTTGCATACGTGTTCGTCTCATGCATCCGAGCATTTTCTCCGTTGTCCGTTTTGCAATCCGACACTCCTACGTCCTCCGGCGTCCCTTTTGTCTTTTTTCGTGTGCGGGTGTTAAACCTTCTCAAAATAGACCGAGATTTGCCAAGCGGCCTTGGTACACCACCAGTAGACCGCCTGCTAAGTTTCGTGTCATTTGGAGTCCGTTTGATACTCCAACGGTTAACCGGGGAACCGTAAAGGCCTCGTGTGTGTTGCAGCCCAACACCCCTCCAAAGTGGCCCAATAACCCATCCAAAACCCCTCCATCCTCTCGGTCATTCGATCACGATCGCGTGGCCAAACACCGCACCTCATTTGGACACTCCTAGCTCCCTCTACCTATATAAACACCCCCCTCCAAATTTTCGCGGATGAACCCTAACCTCCTCAGCGTCCGGACGCGTCCGCGCCGCGTCGGACACGTCCGCACTGCACCCGGGCCGAGCCCCGCCGCCGCCTAGATCGCCTTGGAGCCGCGCCGCCCCGCAGGTCCCCGCCGGCGCACCGAGCCGCCCGGCCGAGCAAGCACTTCGCCGCCCGCCGGCGACCCACGCCCTCGTCGCCGGCGCAAGCACTCCGGCGCCCGCGCGCTGTTGTTTGTTCGCCGGCGCCGCCTCGCATCGGCCACCAGCCGCCGACCTCCCCGACCTCCCCGCTCGTCGCCGGAGTCTTCAGGCGCCGCCTCGGTGTCCGCGCCCTCGCCGAAGTCGCCGGAACACTCGCCGGAGCCAGATCCACCCTGCCTGGATGAGATCCACCGGGAGTCCAACCAAACGCCTCCCCTCGTCCAGATCCACTCCGTCCAGGAACCGCTCCATCCCGTTGACTTTCGCGAGGGTATATTTCCACTAAGTCCCCAGATCTGTGATATTTTCAAGCATTATTCATCATGCCATAACTCCTCATCCGTAGATCCATTTTGCATGCATCATATATCAAAATGTTCATCTGGATGTGCTATTCATTTTGTTCCTTTGTGCCATGCTTGTTTGGGTCCATCTTGATTCCCAAATTGTTGATGCAAGAGTGCTATAAAATGTTAGGTGCTGATTCTTATCAGAGTATGAGTATTTGTCGTTTTTGCTACATTTGTTGTGTGCTGTATATGGGAATGAGCTCTACATGTGTTTTGGGCTATGCCATGACATCGTGTATGCCATGTATTTTTGTGATCAAGGTGGTGACTAGCACATGCATGAAAGTAGCTCTCGTAATATTGATGATTTCAGGGACTTCGAATTTCACTAAGTCATTTCCCTGCTGTTATTTTTATGCCATGTATTCATGTTGCTACAGAGAGATCCATGCTTCTTTTGAGTATGTTCAGTAAGGATGATTTGGACATATGGTTGTGCTCTATCCATCCATGCCCCTGTTTGCATTTATGGAGTGCCCTAGAATGACTCAATCTTGCTCTATTTTTGCTATAAAATGTTCCTGGCAGATTGTTTACGTGTTAATCAATTTTGCCAAGGTTGTTGTAGTTGATCCATGCATGCTATGAGATTGTTCTTGCCATGTTTAGCTTCTTGAACATGTCTTCTTGTTGTATATATGCTTATCTTATCATACAATGCCTTGTGTTGAGTGAATCGACCTCGCAAAGATGCCTTCATAATTCTGTTTATGCCATGCTCAGTTTTCTGCTAAGTCTGAATCTGTTAACGAAACTTGCTATGTTTACATGGGTGCCATCATATCTTCTGATCCTTTTTGGCTTATGGTCAGTAAGGAACTTTTGTTATATGCTTTGGATAGATTCATGCCATGCCTTTTATTGCTATGTTCTGTTCCTGTAGCATGATGTTTACGTGCTCTAAACATTGCTTCCTGATGTTAAATCCTGACATGTTAGTATTTTCACTAAGTCTGTGATGCTGATATCTTTTGCACTTTTGCCATGCTTGTTTGAACCTGCTCTTGTGTGATTTAGCCGTAGCTCAGTGTTCATCTTTTGTCAAGCATCTTGATTAGATCACTACCATATTCTTTGTTGCTAGTTGGAGTGCAGTAGTTTAGTTTCTTGTTGCATTTTAGAAGGCATCATGCTGTTAATCGCAGAATTGTGTCATTATTGGTTTGCTTGCCATTTGCAAACCGTGCATCCGATTCCGGTGATCTTTATATCGATTTCGACCGAAATCAACTCATCTTTCCAGTGGAGCACTTGGTTTGCCAAGTTGGTGCCTTGTTCAATCTTTCCCTTCCGGAGCATGCATATGCATTGCATACCTCATCCCGCATGTCATGTATTGTTTTGCATCATGTTGCTTGCGCATTGCACCCTGATTGATTGTTGGTCTTTTGCTTGTGTTCTTGCTTTGGGTAGAGCCGGGAGACGATTACGTGACCGAGGAATCCGTTGAGTACGCTTATGAGGATCAAGCTTTCGTCTACTCTGGGATCTTTGCAGGCAAGATGACCATACCCTCGAAATCACTTCTATCTTTGCTTGCTAGTTGCTCGTTCTATTGCTATGCCGCGATACCTACCACTCGCAATATCATGCCTCTCATATTGCCATGTCAAGCCTCTAACCCACCTTGTCCCAGCAAACCGTTGTTTGGCTATGTTACCGCTTTGTTCAGCCCCTCTTATAGCGTTGCTAGTTGCAGGTGAAGATGGAGTTTGTTCCATGTTGGAACATGGATATCGTTTGGGATATCCTTATTATTATATCTTGTTTACATTAATGCATCTATACACTTGGTAAAGGGTGGAAGGCTCGGCCTTATGCCTGGTGTTTTGTTCCACTCTTCCGCCCTAGTTTCCGTCATACCGGTGTTATGTTCCTTGATTTTGCGTTCCTTACGCGGTTGGGTTATAATGGGAACCCCTTGACAGTTCTCCTTGAATAAAACTCCTCCAGCAAGGCCCAACCTTGGTTTTACCATTTGCCACCTAAGCCTTTTTCCCTTGGGTTCTGCAAACTCAAGGGTCATCTTTATTTAGACCCCCCCAGGCCAGTGCTCCTTTGAGTGTTGGTCCAAAAAAGAGCCACTTGCAGCGCCACCTTGGGGAAACTTGAGGGTTGGTTTTAGTTGTACATAGTGTTCATCCGGTGTGCCCTGAGAATGAGATATGTGCAGCTCCTATCGGGATTTGTCACCACATCCGGGTGGCTTTGCTGGTCTT